CTCCCCCCGCGCGGCGTGAAGCCGGCTTACGGCTGGTGGCGACACCTGGCCTGCCGAGACGGGGCTGAGGAAAATGGGGCTGGAGCGGTGCCAGTGAGGAAAGCGCGGGCACGACTCGCAAGTCGATATCTGGGCGTCTGTCGTGTTGCGTTCAGGTCGTCCATCAAGTCGGAGCACCGGACTTATGTGACCTGCCTGCGTACAACGCATAAGGGCTGCGCATGCATGCATTACCACGGCAGCCTGTTAGGCCCAGCGAAACAATCCTGCTTGCCGAGTCACCAGAACGAGTCGCGGAGGGACCCCATGGTTCGAAAAAAGGGGGGTGTGAATGTATGCACGCATGTGTGAATTAATGAATGTCACTAGTAGTCTACGCCTTTTATCTCTCTCTCTCTATATCTCTCTGCTCTCTCTCTCTCTCTCTCTCTATCTCTCTCTCCTCTCTCTATCTCTCTCTCTCTCTCTCTCTCTCTCATCTCTCTATCTCTCTCTCTCTCTCTCTCTCTCTCTTCTCTTCTCTCTCTCTCTCTCTCTCGCTCTCTCTCTCTCTCTCTCTCTCTCTCTCTCTCTCTCTCTCTCTCTCTCTCTCTCTCTCTCTCTCCCTCTCTCTCTCTCTCGCTCTCTCTCTCTCTCTCTCTCTCTCTCTCTCTCTCTCTCTCTCTCTCTCTCTCTCTCTCTCTTCCTCTCTCTCCTCTCTCTCTCTCTCTCTCTCTCTCTCTCTCTCTCTCTCTTCCCGTATTATGAACAAATACATTTCGGATCCGAATTCGTGAAAGTTCATCCACCGACAGCGCTACCCGGCTTTTGGAACTAGTAACACAATACTAAATGATTCACAGCATTCGGTGGACAATTAAACATGGTGTGGATATCACTGCAACACAGCAACGCCTCTTACCGACCTCATGACGCACCGTGTTTACTTGATTCAAAGGCCGGGCTGGCCTTCGAGATACGGCCGAAGTCATGAACAATACCAGTGTGCTAACATTAGGGATCCAGCGTTCACGCACACCCTATTCTGTGGCCCTTTGCGTCCTGTTATTGTGCACATCAAAAGTTTCGAACTGCAAACTCGTCAGGGAAATGGCCAGGAAAAAGCAAAAAAACGCCTGAGAAAGCAAGGAGTGAACACAGCAGCAACTCTAACGCGAGATCCACCAGGGTGCCTCGTCGGCGACGTCATGCCACCAAACTGCAATGACTGTGGTCTAAAGCGCATTTGCACGTAAATGACAGCCTAAAACAGTGTTAAAAGTATGGGACTTCTTCTCCGGGTGATTTTGCCTTTCACTTTTGTTTTCATTTCGCCACATTGCCAGTTTATCCGAGTGACACAAGCCATTCATGAATTTCCCTGCATTATGGTACGCTTAAACTTTTTTTGGATTGTCTCACGTGACATCCTAGTTAAGAAGCTTACGCAAGTTATTCAGTGCATTTGTAGTTTAGAAGCTCTTATCTATGTGGTTAAGCTCTTGAAATCGGAAAGGCATGTCATGATGAAAATCACTCCCTGCTTTTTAGTAGAATTTATACCGCACCTTTACACATAGAAATCTGAACGTCCAAGGTTCGATTTGGCTTCTGAGATCGCATCCCAAGCGCTAGCCTTGTTTACACCAGCTGACTGGACCCGTAGGTTGTTGATGCTCACGGACCGGACCGGTAACTTGTTTACACTGACATGCCGGACCGGTAGCACGAGGGTTTGTTCCGATCTACGTCGCTCATCAGCTCGACACCCGTACTGGGAGCGGACTCCCCTATCTTTGAGTGGCCTGCATTGAGACAAGGTGTTGACACGGAGAACATGGCTGGAGTTCCCTCCACACACACTTTCGCCGTCGGAAAGTGTGTTTGGGAGAAAGGGGGGGGGAAGTCCAGGATTCAGCCATTGCTGGCTGAATCGGCATTGGCTGGAGATCGCTCTCGGAAAGTGTGGGGGGAGGGGGAAGAGTCCAGGATCCGGTCATTGCTGACTGAATCGGCATTGGCTGGAGATCGCTCCCGGAAAGAGTGCGGGTGGGGTGGGGGGGGGGGGGGGGGGGGAGTCCGGGTTTAAGTTATTGGGGCCAAGTTCGGCACAACAGAACCTACTCCCGCTCTTCATTCAGAACACACCGATTTCAGGCTAATTCGTTTCGAAAGACAACCTCTGATCAACAGGTCAAACATATTTTGTTAAAAGTAGCACGCCAAAGCAAGTGACCACTGCGCGTTTCTTACACATGGTCGCGGGCTGAAGGTGCTCGAAAACGCATTTATCACCGTAGTACAACAACTGACCTGATGGTGCCTCAGCGTTTTGGGTTGGGATTTTTTTTTTCGGACAATAACTGATGTTACGTAAACCAGGGGCGCTATTTTGAGCGACGTTATCAAGAAAGCATTAGCTATATTGGCAAAGGCGTTTCGAAGCAGCAAAAGTAGTCGTTCGATGCATGGTGCAGGTCATCGACGTTAACCTCACCCGGAGCGCTGGCTGCGGTGGGCAAGGACCTCTTCTCCTGGCCCCTTCGGTGCAACCAGGTGGGAGCAATCGTCAGTGGTATTTGCGACCGCTGACATTCCATCGAGATTTCTAAGCGAGAACACGTACGTTCAAACACAGAGCTGGTGGCGATGGGCGATGTATGGGCTATTAGAGTTGGGGAACTTTTCAAGGCTCTCGATCATTCTCAGGATGTCGGAATGTCTTGGCATCAGTTTGATGCCTCGAGGGCCGGTTTGTGTATTCCCTCCTGTTTGTATCTAAAGCCAACAAATCACTGGGACTTTTAGCCCCAGGATGGCCCCTATCACCTCCAGCGGGAAGGGACATACCTTTCAGTTATCCTTGGCTACGCTACTTCATATGACGCCTCTTGCAAATTCCTTACAAATGTCGAATGTTAGAAATGTTTCTAATAATTCAAGTGTTTGGGTGAGGTGTGAAGGGAATCTGGGTCCAGATCATATAGAAATATGCCAGCTCATAATGCTTGATACAAAGTATTACGCATCCTTTCCAATCGCGTTACGCGTCGCGGCGCATGGTATCATAGGGGACGGGTTGACACGAGCGATGCGGGGTTGGAGTGGATCGGCTTTTCACTGTTTTGACTTATTTGTTTTCTGAACTATTCCTGGTCTAACAGTTACGGTGAGTCTTTTACCCGGTGGCCCTATCAGTTGGAGTGTCTTCCTACCAAGCCACTTGTGGTGTGGCGAATTTTCAAGTCGTTATGCGCTTTCGCTTTTTGCGTCTTGCCCTGGACACGTGACGGCCTGCATTGCCATTGGCACTGGATAGCCTGTGGCAGATAGCATTGTCCGCTCGGGATCACCAGGGGGTGGGGCATGCCATGCCAAACATTATGACATGCTAATTTTTTTAGCACACCAATCCACAGCCTTCAATTTAGGGTAGCTCATTAAAATATGTGGGCATAAATATCTTATCAACTGCATGCTTAACTTATAAGAACATCAAATACTGAACCATTCAAAGGGAATAGAAGCATATTAGGTGGCTGGTGTGCAATTGTCCCCATGCATTGCTATTTTTGGCATGGTAGACACCAATGTTTGCTAAGTAGAATTATGGTTCAGCTGGACTGTGCTGCTACAGTTACATTTGTATGGTCCTCATAGTTATGTTGGCCCTTCATATTTGACTTCACAATGGGACTCAGGACCAAATAAAGCTGTACATATATTGCTAGACACCAGGGAAATTATAAGTGTTGATTTATCAGCTGGCCCACTCTGTCCTTCTGCAGGTAACCAATTGGTATCAGTTTCTAATATACTCATTTCTAGCCTAAGGGGAGTAGGCAGTATAACAACCATGTTTAAGAAGTGGTCACAATGCCATCCCACTGCCTTCCCATTACATAGAGCTAATTGGTTTCATCTACTACAAGTATTGACTTAAGCTCCAGGTTAAACTTCTTTTTTAAACATCTTGACCAATGTGAGAGTGAAAAATTTCCTTAATTGCATCTGGAAATCAAAAATGATCAGAAGCAGCTACTACTGAATACTTGGGGTGTCATGTGGTGATCTGATGCATCAAATCATCACACATTCAAATGTGCCCACACACACATTTTATAATTTTATCTGTAGGCATCATGTGAAAATGGCAGACATGGAAAGAATGACTGTCCAGCCATCTTGTACCTGTCAGCGCATCTTGTAGGTAGTTGGCTATTTTCATAGGTTTGTATTAAACATAGCATTTGTAAAGTCTTATGAGCTTGCTCAGGAGCACAACTGGGTTTTGCACCATTTTAGGCTGTGTGATTTGGCTGGGCACCTACCAGGGCCTGTCTAGTCTAAGCAACATTCTTGAGTGACAATGAGTTCAGCTGTGAGAATCTGCCATTGATGATGATGAGACCCCCACACTCCACACCATTCCATTCTCCCCCACAGCCCTGCGGACCTCCGGTGCTACGCCATTGCCGTGCACAGTGAGCACCGAGTACATCTCAGCTGCCTGCAGCTGCACACCAGGCGCGCTGGACTGGGGCCACGGTGGCCGGCTGTGCTTCGGCTCGTGCCAGGCGCTGGCGGTGGCGGAGCCGCTGCCCGGCGGCGACACTGGCTTCCGGCTCACCAACACGCTGCACCACCACGCCGGCGATGTCATCGCGTGCCGCTGGGCGCGCGAGCTGCCGTCCGACGCAGCGCTGCCGCTGGCGGTGACCGGCTCACGCGACCATGCGGCAGCGCTCTGGGACATGGCGTCAGAGCCGCCGGCCGTGGCGGCGCGGCTCGTGGGTCACGGCGGCCCTGTAACGCTGGTTGACGCCGCGTGCTGGGAGGACACCGCAGGGCGGCGCGTCATCACCTGCGCCACCGCCGCCGCCGACTTCTCGGTGCGGCTGTGGGAGGGCGTGACGGCCGACGCTGTGGCGCCGCGCCAGACGCTGGCGCTCGGCGCCGGCCAGGCGTCGGCGCAGCACCTGGCGCTGGCGCTGCGTCTGGCGCTGCCGCCGGCCGCTGCCGCACCCTGGCTGCTGGTCGGCTCGGACGACGCTGCCATCGTGGTGTTCGCGCCCGGTGAGGACGGCGCGTACGCCGCGACGCTGCGCCTAGTCGGCCACGAGGACTGGGTGCGCTGCCTAGATGTCGCGGTCGTCGGCGGCGACCTGCTGCTCGCCTCTGGGGGCCAGGACGCCACGATCCGCGTGTGGACGGTGCGCGAGGCCGACGACGCGGCGGAGCAGCCCGACCTGCTCCGCCTGCGCAGCCAGACGGTAGCGACGCGCGACCGCTGCGGCCGGCCGCTGCTGCTCACCGTCACGCTCGAGTCGGTGCTCTCCGGCCACGAGGGCCGCGTGTACGGGCTGCGCTGGCGGCCGCGTGCCGCGCGCGCCACCGCCGCGCCGCCGCTGGCGTCAGCGGCCATGGACGGCGCGCTGCTCGTGTGGGAGCGCGACGCCGCCACCGGCGTCTGGGTGGAGGCGGCGCGGCTCGGCGCCGTCGGCGGCAGCGGCTTGGGCTTGCTCGGCTGCGCGTGGAGCCCGCGTGGCGACCGGCTGGCGGCGCAGGGCCAGCGCGGCGCGCTGCACGTCTGGGGCCGAGGCCGAGCCGGGCCTGTGGCGACCGGCCGTGCCGTGCGGGGGCCACGCCGGCCCCGTCAGTGACCTCGCCTGGGCACCCGGCGGCGGGTACCTGCTGACCTGCGGCCCGCGACCAGACGACGCGCCTGCACGGCCGCTGGGCGTCGGCCGGCTCGTGGCACGAGATGGGCCGGCCACAGGTGCACGGTCACGACCTGGACTGCCTGGCCGCCGTCTCTCCGACGCGCGCTTCGCATCCGGGGCGGAGGAGAAGGTAGCGCGCGCGTTCGCCATGCCGGTGGCAGTGCGCGAGACGCTGGCGACGCTGGTGCGGCCCGGACGCCGCGCCGCCGCCGGAGGAGGCACTGCCCGATGGCGCCGCCGTGCCCTCGCTCGGGCTCAGCAACAAGCCCGTGTTCGCCACCGAGGAGACGGCGCAGCCGATGGCGCGCCGCGACCAGCCGGCGGACGCATGCTTCGTGCGGCCGCAGCTGCGGGCGCCGCCCACCGAGGAGACGCTCCTGCAGGACACGCTCTGGCCCGAGCTGCGCAAGCTCTACGGCCACGGCTTCGAGCTGCTGGCGATGGCGGCCAGCGGCGACGGCCGGCTGCTGGCCACGGCGTGCCGCGCTGCGCACCCGGAGCACGCCGCCGTCCTGCTCTGGGAGACGGCCGACTGGCGGCAGGTCGGTGCGCTCGGCGGCGTGCACCAGCTGTCCGTGGTGCAGCTGGCTTCTCTCGCCCGACGACCGCCGGCCTGCTGACCGTGTCGCGGGACCGCACCTGGTCCGTGTTCGAGCGCTTGGAGTCCGAGCCGCCGGCGGAAGGGTCGGAACGGGTGGCGCCGCTGTACAGGCTGGCCGCGCGCGGCGTGCGCGCGCACTCGCGCATCATCTGGTGCTGCGCCTGGCTGCCGGACGGCGGTGGTTTCGTGACCGGCTCGCGCGACGGTCAGCTGCTGCGCTGGCGCCCCGGCGGCGCCGCCGGCTGGGAGCGCGAGGGCGCGCCGTACCGGCCCGGAGCGGCGGTCACCGCCGTCGCCGCCGCGCCATCCGGCCTGTTTGCCGTAGGCCTGGAGACGGGCTGCGTCCGGCTGCTGAACTGGAGCGCCGCGGGCGGCTGGGTGGAGCAGGCGGCGCTCGACACCAGCGCCGCCCACCACAGCGCGGTGAAGAGGCTGCAGTTCCGGCCCGGCCCGCAGGAAGGCGCCACTGACCTGCTGGCGTCGTGCGCGGCGGATCACGCCGTCAAGCTGCACCGGATCAAGTGGGGCGAGAACGGGTGCGGGTCGGAGGACACTGAGCGACGTCCCTCGGTGAACTGTGATGATCGGGGTACTGGGGTTCCGGGTGAACACGCAGCACCGGCCAACACGAGTGGCGTGAATTAGCTATTTGCGATGAATACATAACGATTATTTGCAATGACCGTGTTTTTGCACCAATCTCCGAGTAGCAAGAACGCCTGCAGCTAATGCATGCACGTGTACGCTGCTGCATATAAGCAAGCCGCGCGATCAAACAGGTAATCCAGGATTCCCGCGGTCTATTCCAGGTCCATCCGGGTCCGTGGTTCGCTAGCATACGCAGGGAAGGTGGAGGCAATCGGGTACCCTTTCTCTCCCTTAAGTTCGAATTTTTCTTGTTTTTGACCACAAATGTCATCAGAAAGAAATGTGAAAATCCGCATGATGCACGCCTCATCGAGCCCCGCCGCCGCTCCCTCCCCCCCCCCCCCTTCCAAAGAAAATCCTGGCTGCAACGCTGCTAGAACATTCAAGTTAATCCGATCAGCGCATACAGAGATTATGCGGTGCGTGGAAAAAATTTGGCTAACCTGTCCCAGAACAGCTATATTCCACTTTTAGCAAGCGGGTCTGCTGCACCACCGAAAGTTTTTGCCCGCGGATGGATTCAGCGCCAGACCTTGGAAAGTGCGAGTCAACCTGGGTGACAATAACCTGGGTTTGGTGCCATTACACTAAATGAAGTTAAATTAGAGCAACTATTGCTGTTTTTCAAAGGCTAAGGGGAAGCAATAACATCCTATCCCCTTCACGGATTCGCTATTAGCGTAATCCGCATCCGACAATTAAAAGAATCGCTACTGTGACCTTGAAATTTTAACAAAGCATTGGTCACTCGTTCGTTATCAACACGAACTATGACGTAATAAGTTCCATTTTGGGAGGATATTCCTTCGTATGCTTTTGAAACTTTGTAACGCTCATGATAGGCAGCCTGATTGTCCACTGTGCTTTACTTTCCAGCGAAGTGATTTTAAACCCCGTGAAAGGGCAAACTTTAAGCTATTTGAAGGTGATTTATTTCTCGCAAAGTGGTGCCTATACACAGGCCCAGAGGTAGTGACGACGACAGATCTTCTTCACCACAATCCATGAAATATGTCTCCAGCTTTTCATAGTTTTTCCAGACACCTTTGGTGCTTTTTGAATTGAGGCTTTCCACTAAATTGCCGATGTAGCAACAGTACACGTCCATCGTTACGTAGCTTATAAGTGGCCCGATGGGATTGCGTTGAACGCGTTTCCCGTTTGATTTCATGCAACTTCAAGGTGCAAATTTTTAATTGTTTCAGAGAGTAAGGTTAACCGGGAGTACCTACCAAGCCCTCCTCCTCCTTGCTTCCTACGGCTTCATCATTCAGTCGTGCATGTTCCCAGCGTAGTGCTGTTGGAGGGTTCATTTATGAACGATCTAGGCGTAACCGGCGTGAAGCCCAAGGCCCAAAGCAACCACCGCAATCCCCGGCCCTTGATCCCGGGCCCATGAATCCCATGCAAGGCTGAGTCCGTGGGCAGTTTTGATCCAATAGACATTGGGAGGTAGTGATATGTAAGTATGGAGAACAGAGGTCCAATGAGGATATTCGATAAGTTGGCTATTATTTATCAGCACGTGATTTTAGTGGGCTTGCATTGTATCGGGTTAACGAGATGTCACTCGCATAAAACGTGATACGTTGCTGGTGCCCGCCTTGGCACGATTCCAACGTGCCACGGCGAGGTTACGTTATGGTTTATTTTATCATTATGGTCTTGGCGATTCTTCGAAACAAAGCATATTATGGTGTCAATGCTCGGAAATTCAATAATCTGTTTGCTGCCAGAGCACGATGAGCTATGACGTTACCCAGGTGTCAGCGAATCTTTTGTTTACAGCGGGTGACATAGTAGGTAGGTGGGCGGGCACCCAGGTGGAACACTATGACATTTTAGGAAATAGCTCTAGTAGTTCATTTGAAATTGTAACTCACTGTTCCAGGCTTTAACATGAAAGCCTATCATGAGGATTTTGTCATGGGATGTGTGAGGATTATACCTATCTGCATGGTTGCTGGTGCTATCATATTGTGGTGCTTTTGACTTAGCTTGAAGTCGAGCCTCACAATTTTTGGGAAAATCTGGTACCTGGCTCACAGGGGTATATGATGAGAAGGCACTGAGTGTTCTTGAGTCCCCCTTGGGCAAGCTCCCATGCACTTGGATATCTGATGCTGAAAGTGTTTATTTTTATTTGGGATGCCAGAGGTGCTAAGTTACTTATGCTAGCAGGCAGCTATTGAAATGTGTAATGAAAATGTCAAATATTTCCAGCTATGGAACCTGGTTTTTGACCAATGTGATCAAGTATAATGTAGGCTATCTGCAAGAATTTCTACTTCGTTGTTATATTTTGTTCTGGTCTGGTTTGTTCTGGTCTCAGCATATATAGCAAAGTAAATAATCATGTTTATATATATATATATATTTATATATTTATATATATATACATCATGTTTTTTAACATGCATCATTATAATGTAATTATATTTTTTAATAAATAAAAACCATAGTTTTGACTTGAGGTCATTGTAACTGATGGAAGATCCATTACAAAGTTACATGTCTGTCTTGCATGCTCTGTTGTCCCAGACTAAGCAGGGAGCACATACTGAGAAGACATGCCATTTTTATTTTTATTTTAGTGGTATGCAGGCCATTGCTTCACATTGTTTTGTTATAGTGTTGTATTGTGTTCTAGTGTAAGGGATGCATGGAGCATTGAAGACTCTTATGAAATTGTATTTGTGTTCTCTGTATTTCAGACAAAAGGCAAACTCACTTAAACTGATGGAGTGTCCACATCTGGAAGAAAATGTGAAGATCAAGAGAGACCAAGTCTTGCAGCATTCCAAGTTGTGGAAATGTGAAGGTAGCAGACTGATTTGTTGCAATTCTTTATGCATAATGTATACCAAATATATTATAGTTTGTATAGTTTATGTTGTTTTTGCTTTATGATACCAGAGCTGCATTTATCAGTTATCTGTGTGCTGTCATATGTGAAATGTGCAAACACCCCTATAACATATTTCACATCCACTATAAAATTGCAGCTTGTTGCACCTCACCATATACCATAATGAAGTCATTTACTTGAAATTTCCTGATATAATGGTGGGGTCAGGGTTAGCACAACACACACTGCTTAGCATGAATGCTGATCCCTGAAATCCATTAAGTAAAAATGTTTGTATTGAATATATATATATATATATATATGTATATATTGAAAGCTACCTTTTGTGAATAGAAATATTCCACTTCTGCATACTGTGACAATGTTTCTGCTGTAACTGCATGAGATCAGGATGTATTAGTCCATGGTAGAACTAGGTAAAACAAGTTGTGGGGCTGCGTGGATGGCATAACATGGATATTCTGGTGCTTGGTTTAATATATATGTGCTTGGCTGTCAGCAGCCTGTGTACTCCTGATTGGCAGGCATTGGTGGTTGCTGTTACCATTGGTACTACTGTGCACTATTAGCACCAGTTGCCACAGGCTATTGTATGTTGTTATATGCTGTTATACATATTTATATGCTATAGGTGCCATAAATGCCTTTCTGATGTGAATTACTTGTCTGCTAAGGCCAAAGACATGCCTGATATCTATGCTATTCTACTATTCTATTTTTCTATTCAATTCTAAATTCTTTTTTCTATTATCTAAATTGTATTATCTAAATTCTATTCAGTTCTAAAAGATGTCTTCAAATAAAAGTGACACTTGAAAAAGTGAGCTGGGGGAATGTTCCCCTCACACTGTGCTGCTGGGTTGTCATGATGAGCATGTTATACCAGACTTCATAGTATGTCTTTAGGTGTAACCTCTCTTTATGCACAATGGAACCCATTAGTTGGGAGCATTTTGCATCATGGCCTAGTGAGCCAGAAGATGCCTTAGTGTGCCATACCACTAGCTGTGACATAACCGTGTGTGCCTCAGTGTGCCACGCCACTGACTGTGACATGACCAGTGCCTCAGCATCATGCACTGCTGACTGTGACATGACCTGTGCCTCAGTGTGCCACACCACTGACTCTGACATGACCTGTGCCTCAGTGTCATGCACTGCTGACTGTGACATGACCTGTGCCTCAGTGTGCCACACCACTGACTCTGACATGACCTGTGCCTCAGTGTCATGCACTGCTGACTGTGACATGACCTGTGCCTCAGTTTCATGCACTGCTCACTGTGACGTGACCTGTGCCTCAGTGTGCCGCACCACCGACTCGCCCTGGCTGTGCCTGCACTGCGGCTTCGTCGGCTGCGGGCGGTATGTGTCGGGCCATGCTAAGCGCCACCATGAGCAGCGCGACAGCCACGCCGTCTGCATCGAGTGCCGGCAGCTGTCGGTCTTCTGGTGAGGACGCCACACACCTCCTCCGTGCATCCCCCCCTCCCCTCTCCTTTAGATGACCGGTCGTAGGAATACGGGTGATGCTCTCGGCTGGCGGTGCGCGTTCGACGGCATTGTTATTCTATTGGTGGTGTCGATGTGAGCAGTGTTGGGCAGCAAATGAGGTTTTGGTCCAGGGATGGTAAACGCTTAGCATGTAAGCTGAAATGGCGAGGACATGCGCTAGAAAATAGCATTGTATGTGCAAGGTTTTGTTTGGCTGGTTCCTGGTAAGACTAACAGTTCGCTTGACTGGGCACGATTTTTCCACTCAGATCGGCTCATTATTATCCTGGTCAGACCACTTCAAACAGCAGTCGGTCGGTATTTCACTGGCAATGTTGTAAACATGGCATTAAAAGCCACCATCTGCCCACCCTCAATAACCGCCTGCAATCCTGGGTACCCGTGTTAAGCAGACTGTCCTAGTGAGCCTGGTCAGGCACCGGATTCCTGTTCATGGACGTTCTCAAGGACACCAAGGTTGTTATCGGAAAGCTTACAAGAGGACCAGTTCTCGTCGGCCGAGCTTGGTCGCCGGTTCAGAGACCTTTTACGGAGCATCGGGCATGTTTAAAATGCCGTAAGGCGAAGCTGACAGAGTCGTATTCAGGACTGGTACAGGTCGGGACGGTATGTATTTGTCCAAACCACCACTTCCTCGCAAATAAGCCCGTGACGTTACATGATGGTATATGCGGCCCGTTACATCCCTTCAGTGCGTGTTTTTCGCACTTACGCGTGCGCCTATTACCGAACAACCTATATTTGCAGCTATGAATGCGACGACTTCGTCTTCAACGACACGGGCGGTGGCGCCATAGACCGGGTGCGGGGCGCGCTGTCCACCGTCCACTCGGCCGAGGCCAATGGTGACGTCATCGTGCGGCCACCTAGCGGTCGAAAACGGAAAAGAAACCGGTGAGTCTGCCGCCGTGCGGCGCCACCGGTTTGTTGGTCGTGTGAGCGCGCCCGGGCAAAGCTGACGACAGCTATGGGTGATGGAAAGGTGTTCATACGTTTTGCTCAGCGCGGAGCGAACACAGAGACAAGTGTGTGATTCTGCGGAGAAGGATTAGTTTCTACCGTCTGCTGTATGAGCACTGATCAGCTTATGCGACTAAACATGCTGACAGGTGATGAATAGGCCAGTTGGCTGTGCAACGGACGCGATAGATTCTTGATGATTGATGGAAGCATGGGGCGGTGGTGATAGGCCTGAACAATCTGCTCGGCTTGTCATTTCAATGTGTGGCCCGATATGGATGACTTTGATGCATGAAGAGAATGGTAGACATGGATTTGGGCCTGGACTCATTCATAAAATGACACTCTTTGTGGCATGAGGCACCATTTCGTGATGAATTTTGTGTCACTAGGTGTGTGACTTGTTGACAGCCCCTTCTTTTCGTCGGCAGAGATTGGCATAAGCAGACCACGGGGCCTCAACTCATGTAGCTGAAAATTGCTGCTGACCCCAACTTAAAAAAACTGCTTTCTGTTCTCCTTTTTTCTTCGTGTCAGAACACTGAGTTTTGTTCATTTTTCCCATTTTTCGTTCTTGCTTTTCTTTCATCTCAACCTTTGTAGTGTTCATCGTGGTATATACCGTTGGTGGTGGGTCGACATATGCTAATTTGTGCTGGTTTGGGGTCCAGGTCGTCAAAATGTGTATTGACGATTAGGATGACGACAGCATCTTGGTCAGCGTGATGTTCGTTATCATTCGGCATTAGAACCCTATTGCACATGACCTCCCGCTCACTGCATGTGGGCACCCGCCTTGCTCATTGTGGTGGACTCAAAAGCTTCTCCAATCCGTATTTTGGATGAGCTTCTGAAAGTCGGTTCACTTCGAAGGCGTTTTTTTCAGACACCAAGCAGGCACCCCTCACGCGGTACATCAGTGTCCGCGCGTCCGGAAACAGCTGACTTGACGCACCCCTGACTTCGCTGACCTGACGCACTCCTGACCTCACTGACCTCACGTGCCGCTGACCTCGCTGACCTCACGCACCCCTGACCTCGCTGACCTTATGTGCCCCTGACCTCTCTGACCTCACGTGCCCCTGACGTCACTGACCTCACGTGCTTCTGACTGGCCGCCTCGTCGCCAGGCTGGTGGTCTCTGAGAGCGAGGGCGAGGCCGAGAACCGCGTGGGTAAGCGGCCGGCGCGGCGCCGGGGCCGCTCGGCCGACCCCCAGGGTGCGCAGCGGCCCGGCTGCTCCGCCGGCCTGCGCAACCTCGGCAACACGTGCTTCATGAACGCCGTCCTGCAGTCGCTCAAGTGAGACGTGCTGACGCGGCTGATGCTGCCGCTTCCTGAGGTTGGAGAGGACAGGCGGCCGCATGGGGCGCAGAACGGCTTGTGAGGATGGCTGATGTTGGGATGGCTGGGCGGTGATAGTCGGAGTTGGAACCGATAGATCTAGCTGTTATGGGTGACGCTGACATCTAATACCTTTATGGCGCTCCTGAACGGGAGTTTTCCACATTTGTACAGGGTTTTGAACTGAAAGAGCCATTTTGAAGACCTTTCGTTGCTGTTCACAATCATGCCCTTCTTAAGACGTAAGCCCTTCTAGTTTCTGAGCCACTTGTCCGCAAAATGGGGAAAGGTATATCGGAAGGGTATTTTAGTCACCATGGTTTTCATCACGTCATATTAACGTCATTCAAATCCTGCCATTCCGTAAGCCATGGGTCGATCAATGCGAATTACAGTATGATTGTCGTGGCGTTCATATCTGGCGTTCATGAGCGCGATTTCCAAATATAACGGTCGTCAACTGGCTTTCAATCAATGTACAAAGTACGATGGCGTAATCGAACCATGATGCATTGAGCAGCATATTAAACAAATAATTATGCCGTCTAGAACAGTTTTTCCACTTAAAAAGTATATTAAAAGTTATAAGTGAGCTTGTTCCATCACATCTGATACTTGCCTCAATGTGTTCAACTGTGATACATCCCCTTTAACGTGACCCACTAATGATCTGTTTACTTTTACATGGCGAATAGAAAACATATAATGCCGGGAATTTCTTTCGTCATTTTGATTGCCCTTCACTGTACACGTACTCGCATAGCAATGTAGCTATTTTTTGATAAGTACGATAATTTTTTGATAAGTTTTTATGTCATTGGTGCAGTCTAGGTTAAGTCGGCTTGGAGCAGTTAGTTATCTATTGACGCCATATTAACGGAAGCCTGATGGATTGCCGCGTAGCTTTGTCGGTTGAGGCCGCGCAGAAGGTAACCGCCGTAACCAGTGGCGTATTAAAGGGAAGGGGCGCGGGGTCACGTTTCCGTCTCATACTAGCTTCGCTTGCAACCATGGTCAAATGAATGCATTTCGACACTCGAAAATGGCAGTAGACGCGCAAAAATAAGCTGCGCGAGAACATCATTTATCGTCCTACGCTGCGTAGGAAACTCCGCGATTGTAGCGCAGTTTGACGATTTTATGAATGAGACGTTTTTTGCTGTGCCGGTCGTCATTTGTGAAATCCTGCCGATGCCGCTGACTCGAGCGAACGGACCAGCTGCACGTATAATCGAATAGTCGGAGGCATTGTGGCTTCAGATCCTCACCCCTGCTACTTGCAACACGCTCGTAGTTTGAATCACAATCAGATCAATCCGAACTATTGCGCAACGCACTGAGACTAAAGCAAACAAGCTCCATTGTGTTGTCTGAAATTGCGTTAAACTTGCCAGCACTACTCCGTTTACAAATGCCGCCGAGAGTGACACTGCCAGTCAGTCGGCTTGCGGAAAACAAGGCGGTGCGGCCCGCGAGTCTGCGCTGCTGCCCCGCCCTGGACGGAACTGACACGATGTGCGGCCTATTCGCTTTCTCTGATACATGACAGTGTGGGTGGGGCTGGTAAGGTCACAGCGTTTCGCACCACGTTGCGACACGCTCACGGGGTGTGACTTATAGATGTGTTTCGACGTTTGGATAGTGCTGTAATTCGCGTGATGCCAAAACGTTGTCATTAATGGTTCTGGTTCGCGTGAACACACCTGGTTATCATGAGGGTTTTTGGATCGCGTGAACAAGCTGCATTTGCCGAAACATCAAACGCAAGTTCGTCAATTCGCAATACCGTAGGGCCACAGTAAAACGGCTCAAATAGTACGCCAGGCATTGATTACTGCCCAGCGGTTTGAATTATTCATTCACTCTATATTGCCACCGGCTCGCCGTCATTCTCGAAGGTAACGTGTTGCCGGCGGCGCTCTCGCCTGTGCAGCTGGAATCAGACAGAGGCTAATGCAGGGACGCGGCCTGCGCCCCACCGTCCTCTGCCGCGGCCTGGCCCGCGCTCCGTCACATGTCGTGTGTCGCCTCCCCGGGGGGCGAGCGGCGGTGCCCATCTGCCAACCCTTCCGCGTGCCCATCTGTCAAAGCTGACGACCGGCGGCTGCGTGTCGGCCGTGGTGTTGGTTTGCGGCCCGTGTCCCGCCCAGCGGTGGCGGCCGTTGTCGCTCATGCTGCCATCACCCTCGGTCGCGCCTCCATCACCCCCAGGCCCGCTTTCATCATCCCCGATCCCGCTCCCATCGCCCCCGGTCCCGCTTTCGTCACCTCCGGTCCCGCTTCCATTATTCCTGGTCCCGCTTCCATCATCCCTGGTCCCGCTCCCATCACCTCCGGTCCCGGTCCCATCACCCCCGGTCCCGGTCCCATCACCTCCGGTCCCGGTCCCATCACCCCGGTCCCGGTCCCATCACCCCCGGTCCCGCTTCCATCGTCCCTGGTCCCGCTGCCATCATCCCCGGTCCCGCTCCCATCACCCCCGGTCCCGCTCCCATCATTCCCGACCCGCTGCCATCACCCCCGGTCCCGCTTTCATCACCACTGGTCCCAGTCCATCAGCTCACAGGCCCGGCGCAGCCGTGTTCTCCCGTCGTTTACAGTACCAACCGCAGCTGCCACCTCTAGTGTGAGTTCTCGCCTCCGACCCGCTACTTTCAGCCCTCCCGCCCCACTCCCCCGACTCGTCGCAAATTCCTCGTCCAGTCACAACCTCAGGGTTGCCGGTAGTGTAGTGGTTAAGGTGTCTGCGTTAACCACTGCGCGTCTGGGAAACCAGAGGTACGGGGTTCGATTCCCCGCGATGCTCGCCCTTCCTGCCATGGTGAGAGGCAGGCGACGCCACATAGCCTCAGCAGCTGAGTGCGTGGTAAAGCCCCAATGACATGATATGACGCACAGTCACAACCCCACCCGCTCTCCCCCCGTCCCCCCTCCCCGTTTCAACCCCGTCCGCCCCTCCCCCGCCCGCTTACACCCCTCAAGCCACCTTCACTGATGTCGCGCCTTCGTCTTCGCCACAGCAACATCCAGGAGTTCCGTAGCTACATGAAGGAGCTGCCCGACCTGGCCGACATCATCAAGGTGCGCGTGCAGAACGGCAGGAGCAAGATGCCCGGCCAGGTGAGATGACGTAGGGTGCGGGTGGTGGTTAGGTGATGGGAGCGAGGATGTCCCCTCCCCAGGCTGCCGGGCTTCGGCACGACAGTGGCGACGTGCCGCAGCAGTTGCGCGCGGCAACACAAGGTCGGGCGGCTGTCAGGGTCCGGCCGTTCAGCTGGCGATCTTGACTGAAGCCAGGAAGGCGTGGATTCAGGCTGGCCGGACTGGGCGGGTCCGATCTTCACACATTGTATATGGCCGCTTCGGGGCGTGAGTTACCGCGTCGTTCCTAACATGAATGCGCTGGCCGGTCAATAGTGTTCCGCGGCCTTAAACCAATGACCATGCGCTGCATTGTCCCTGGAGCTGTCATCAAAATTTGCTGCGACTTATTGTAGTTGCGCCGGTGCGTTTGTCTGCGTCCGGCTACGAGAATCTATTAGAAGCATCGCGATTGAGTCGTTTTTTTTTTGCAAGTGCACGCGCTGCGCATAAAGGGCGAGACAAAAAGAGGCGGCATTAGTTCGAGCGCTTTGGACTCGGCGTTTCATCTCGGCCGATAGCTGCGTTGTAGTTCTTCCAAGGAGAACGTAGCATGCGCATGGATGGTTGAAAAGAGACATTTCTCGAGATGAAGGACAACAAGAGAAACGTGAAATGTGCTTGGAAGCGTAGTTAATTTTGCTTTCCATGCACAACAATGACGTCCAGCGTTTGCTGAAAGCCGGTTATTAGTAAGCCCTTGTGATATCCGCTTCTTTTGTGCCGCCGCGTTGCCTGAACCCCTTGCAATTAAGCTGACCATCAAAGGTCTCGCTAGCGCACATGGACATTGTGGTCTATACGCGGTGGAAGTCGTGGAATGTCTGCTCCCGGTTTTGAATTGGTCCATTTACCGGCTCGCGATTCACATCTATAGAGCTGACACTCGCGTGTGGCCAATTCCTTCATGTACTTTTCATTGTGACCGAAACAGCTTATGATGGGGGATACAACAGAGCGCCGGTGCTGGCTCCTGCTTGCGTGGGCTCGAGATGCTTCAGAGCTGACTTAAGAGTGTAGCGCTGAGGATCGAAGCCGAGATGAGCGTGGAACAACCGCGCTTTCCCAGTTGTTTGGTGAGGTCCTGTGTCTATTACCCATCAGGAGAGCTGGAGGGCGCTTCGTATTGGGACGCTTTTCAATGCACGGTTGTGTGCGAGATGTCTGTTTTCATTGGGCAAAGATATGATTTCCAGCATGTAAGGATTGTGAGCGCAGGGAAGGCTGTAAGCGCAGGGAAGCCAAATGTTACAGGGAACTGCCTCTCGGTGTTCAGGTCTTCCGTTCGCTTCCTCCGGGACGTGCTTCCGCTGCATCCGTTGGTCGCGTTATGCAAACTCATGTGGCGTTAATGCAATGACCACCATGGAGACCAATGGTGCAGAAAACGGGTTGAGATCGGGATAGAAGCCTCTTTAGATAGCCCGCCGCTCGATGTTCTCACAACGGCAGAGTGGCAACAGCTGTCGGCGCGGACCGCTCCCTCGACCCACTAAGCATTCACCTGCGCAGATTTTCGTAGAGTCTGGCAAAGCTGAGATCGCTCTCGTGTTGAGGCTGACGATCGCGGCGACGATAAATTGACGTGACCTAACGGGTATTATGTTGTGGTCAACCGACTTCAGGGTGTATTCGCGCGGGGTCAGCGTAAGCAGCTTCTTCAGCCGAACTACTTTACCCGTAGCGGACCTAGTCCCGTTAACGCGAATGTTATCTGAGCAGTGGCCAGGTGGCGCCCGCTCGATCAGTCGCCGGTAGCGGGTCCAGTCACCAGTCCTCACGTGGCGGGTGCTCTGTAGCAGAGCTGATGGTTTTGGATTGGTTTTGGTGCTGGAACATTCGGCCAGGTGTATGTGTACGGTCGCGGGCGGCGGGCGGGGTCTGAAGATGAGCCTCGTTCCGGCGGCCGGCATCGCGCCGCGGTTTCGGAGGCCGGCAGATGGCGCCTGGCTTGGTGAGCTTGACCTCACACGAAGCACTTCAGAGTCGAGACGGCGGAGGCGTCGGAAGTGCGCGTGCCGCTTTCATGTGACAAGATGCGGTGCAGCGACTTGGCCGGAGACGGCGCACAGCGTGGAAGCCCAGGTCTTCTGATAAGTGGGTCACGACCTGTTCGCATGGCAAGCTTCTGGACATCCCGTGTGTAGGTGGTGCCACGTGGAATCTGAGGAAAATTGGGAATGGAAACCATTGGAGATCGGATGGTAGACAATTGTCAAAGTCACGTGTTGTTTGATACTTGCTCGGGCAATATTGGGGTGTCTCGCGGTGCGCCGCTGAGGCGTAGCATGCCGTGGTAATTGCCTTTTTTGTCATGCCGTGACTTACGTGCCGACATCACATCATTATAAACACTTCGATGAATGAAGTCTGCTAGCGTGCGCTCCGTGGTGTGAATTTTTCGTCACATAGGTTGTCACGGAAGTATTTTTCATACGTCACGCGCTGGTAGCGTTCTGAAAATGAAAATGTGGGGAGCACGCTTAGCAGGGATGAGCCATGCCCTCGTGCATGTCCTCGCGCGGCGGGTGCTCTGTAGCAGAGCTGGTGGCTTCGGACTGGTTTTGGTACTGGAGCATTCGGTCAGGTGTATATGTACTGGGCTACACTGGTCTCGAATTGAGTGGCGGATTGGGATAATGTCGGCGTGGGTGAAAGGCAGGTGTCGAAGGTCGGCATGAAAATCTGCCATGCTGCACTACATGCGTGAATAAGGCAAGTTGTATAACCAGATACGAAGGCGGAGCAGGGCAAAGCGTAGTATGCATTGACCAAACATGTGTAATTTCATCCTAAATGTAACGAAATATCTCGTATCGCAAGTCTTTCGATTTTAACGTTGCAATAGATACATTCAGTATTATTTTTGCAAGGTGTACTGTTTATAGAGCCCAAGACCGATACCGAGTGTATTATGCAGTTGTCTATGCTTTTTCACAGACACTCGGATGATCGTGACTACCCGAATGCTCAGTCCGGTCATGTGGACAGTGGTTACTTTTTCGCAACACGATTTGGGAGACGAAATCACGGACTATCGTGACCTCATTCAATAGGCAGAGCTCGGGTTTGTACCTCCTAACCTGGAGCAATGTCCAGCGTAGTAAACAATACCGTAAACGTGGTGCCGATCACAGGGTGGCGGCGCGTTGCCCGGGCGCCTTTGAACCGTTCGCGGCGCACGTTAAACGCGGCTCCAGCGCCGCCCTTGCGACGCGCATCGCCGACATCTGCCTCACGGCTCGCTGTCAGCGCCCGACGGCGGCGTGGATGACGTCATTCTTGTCGTGTTCACGCTCCGTGTGAGGAGCGCCGCGCCTCGTTCGGCACGGCTGGCGGGTACGCTCGTGCGGCGGCGCCGGCCGGCCGCTGCGGCGCTCTTGTGTGGAGCGGGCGCGCCGCCTCCGCCGGGGCCGATGACGGATGCCCCCCCCCCCGCCCCCTCCCCCCCCCCCCCCCCCGCTTCGTCACGCCCGCCTGGGAGTACAGACGCGGCCGTGCGGCTGTGGACGTGTGGGGGAGGGGGGGGGGGGGGCTGGCGAAGCTGGGGGACTGAGCGGCCGGTGGCGTGTGTGCCGGACGGGACCCGCGGCGTCCTCCGGTGGTGGGGTTCCCCGCAAACCGGGCGGCCGGCGTCGAGTTACGTCATTAATGAGAAGAGCCTGTTGCGCGTCGCCGGGCGGACCCGAATATGTCTCATTCCCGGGGCCCGCAGGATCCCGTCTCGAAACCAAACTCCAGTCGTTATCACGCAGGGCGTGGTCCCGGTGTGTGTGCCTGTGAAGAATTCACGTTTTGGGGATTGGCGACGCCGGAAACAGATCCGGCTGGCGGTTTGTGTATTATTTATCATGTCATCCGGACTTGAATTTGACGAGGTCACCCATGTAGACGCTGATCGTATCAAAACGTTTGTAAAAGGAAAATGGAGCTCTGAGTTATGTGCCGCACATGTCGTGTCGCGAAGGAAAGGCGCGTGTTATATTCATCAAAGGTGGGAAGGAGAACAATATGAATAATAAGATCTGGCTGAAAAGTTCTGTTCCGGCATAGTGAGTGGTAAACGCGGCGTAAACCACATATGCACGCCCAGCCAATCGCAGTACTAAAGAAAAGTTGCGACCATTTGATCAGAAAAGCACAGCTGACCGTTTACGCCATTTAGCCTGGTGTACTCAGGCGCTGATGGAAAGAAGAGGCGGCGGACATACATGTTTTGCGTCGGTTCCACATCACACGTCAGGCGACGTGCAATGAATGCCAGTTGAACCCAAAACACCGGGTGCCGATAGTGCAGTTTATGGTTAACCCCTGCATGTCCGGGAAACCAGGTGTACGGGGGTTCGATTCCCCGCCGCGATGGCGCTCTTCCCACCAGAGAAGCAGGAGACGTCATGTAGCCTCAGCAGCTGAGCGCGTCGAAAGCGCCAACGCCAGTGACCAAACCTGAAACAGCTGGTCACGCGCGCACCACCCAGCCTCGGCCGACCGATGAGGCTGAGGCGTTGCTATTTTTTAGCCATGTATACGCGTAGGTAGTCATTTAGCTGTTATGGGTGCAAAATGACCCCAGTAGTCGGTGCGCCCTAAAACTCTTAACTACAGCCACGCCCGGCTGACGAGTGGGGAGAGTGGCACTCGGTGACCTGTCGCCGTTCCGCCCGCATTGGCGATACCCTCTCACGTGCATCGCCCAGCCTCTGCCGGCCGGTGAGGTCGAGGCGTCGCTGACCACGCCCGGCTGACGGGTGGGGAGGGCGGCGCGTGGTGACCTGTCGCCGTTCCGCCCGCATTGGCGATACCCTCTCACGTGCATCGCCCAGCCTCTGCCGGCCGGTGAGGTCGAGGCGTCGCTGACCACGCCCGGCTGACGAGCGGGGGGGGGGGGGGGGCGGTGACCTGCCGCCGTTCCACCCGCATCGGCGCGCCTGCCTGCTGCTGCGTAATGCTGACGCGCCGCCGACCCGGCCCGGGATTAGGAGCCCATCTCTGGAAATGGCGCGCACGGAAATAGCGCGCCGGCGGCGCGAGTCGCGCTCGGCCGACGTCGCCGCGACGGACGGCGCGGACACCTGTTGCGGGATGGTGGTCAGGTGTTGGGGATTGAGTGGCCACATGGGAGGCTGAGAGGTCAAGGCGCAGAGCTGAAGACTACGGGGTAGATTGCGTTCGATTCCCGCCGCGGGAATTTTTCACCGGCCCAGTTCGCACCGTGATGTAGCGATGTCTGTGGTCATGATGTTTACGTGCGTTGGTGACTTACCTATCACCTACTAAGGATAAGATAGAATCATGGAAAGCTGCGTGCGTCCGGAAGCGGCACTCGTCTCCTCGGCATCCACCCAGCATTTGTTGACTTCTGTCAGACCGCGCCTTCTCGCTCGCGGCAGGCCGACGAAATGCCGGCTGGCACGCTGTCCGTGCCCGGCGTAGGATCTAATTATGAAAAAGGTGACAGAATGACGGAGCTTTGGCCTTCGACGCGTCATCACCAAGTAAATTGCATTACGCCGGCGAGCCATACGTCAGCGGAGGTTATCTGAACAGCAATGGACCAGCCCAGATAAGAATACGTGTGGCGAAATGCTGTTGCGTGCACTACGCAATGATCCGTGCGGACCCCGTGTTGGTGCCTCGCCGCGACTGGCGAGCGACGTTTTTCATGGGTCAACGGCGTCCTGAAGTCGCTGCCTGTGGCGTCTCGGGAGATAATGTCACGTGGGTTTGTACGGGCCGCGTGGTTTTGGCTGCGCGGGACGTCCCATGCAGCGGCTTGGGGGCGGCTCTGGGCAAGGAGATCTAGGGGCTGACCTTATTTTATCTAAGGCTGATCAAAGTCCCAGCGCCGTTCGAGACGAAGTCATTTCCAGCGGCCGACAGCGCTAAATCTGCCTGCGACTGGTGACGTCACGGGTCGCGACCAATCATATTTCGACGCCACTCAGCGAGCGTGCCGGTCCGATCGGCTACGGCAGCCGTTTAGATCAGGTCCCGAGCGAGGCTTGCGTGGGCGGTGATGGTACGAGCCTCGCGCCGGCGCTGGCGGGCCGCCGCCGCCGCCGCCGCCGCCGCCGCCGCCGCCGCCGCCGCCGCCGCCGCCGCCGCCGCCCCCGCGGTCGGCCTCGCGACCGTACGCCGGCTGCGCCGACGTACGGTCGGGTCCCCCTTAGCGCTCCTGTCAAGCGGGGGCACGCGGCGGCGCACGGCCGGGTTCCGAGCCGGCTGGCACGTGACCTGCCTGACGGCTCAGCGGCACGTGACCGATTCCAGCCGATATTGCAGGGAGAAGCTTCAACCTCGTAGCGCTCTGTTCACGTCATTGCGCCCCATTGCACCAATGGCAACGCACGAGATGCCACCGACTAGTGGCGACGTCCCGTAATGGGTTATGTTACGCGCTGCAAGGTTCGGTGTTACGTAATTAAATCGTAAAAATGTAAAATATAACACGTAATATATATATATATATATATATATATATAACATAAATATGTAAATATATACGTCATAAAAGAGCATAACACGTAAAAATCACGACACGCACATCACCACCCATCGCCGGCTGGTGATGTGTGTCGGGCCGCTGCACGGTTCACGGTCGGCCCCGTTGGCTCCTGCGGCGTCATCCGTACCGTCTCCCGTCCCCCCCCCCCCCCCGGTAGGGATGACCCGGACGTTGCCCATTAGAAACTAAAAACGGTGACCTATTCTGACCTGCTGCGGCCGCCCGCCGCGCCCTCAGTCCCAACTTCGGCCCAGCTGGAGCGCCAGTGAGGCGGCGTGCTCGTGCGAGTCTTACCGGGGGTCTCCCCCTGTCTTCATGTGACTCCTCTCTTCCCTTTCATGAGACGACCCTGAACCCACCTGACCGGGGGTACATCCACACTGTCCGCTGAGCTCGTTGTACGTCGCGGGTCGGGTTTGGTCCGCGTTACATCTTGCCGTTGAGTGACCTTGACTTTGCCTCAGTTGGCGTCTTAGAATCCGCCGCCACGGCGCCCCCCCCCCCCCTTCTTTCGACCCACGGCGTCTGAAGAGGCCCGGCTGTGACCCCTCGCGACCCCGCCGGTGACCATGACCCCTGCCATATGTGCTCGCCGCGCCCGCCTGACCCCTGACCTGACACTGACCCGGCGCGCCAGGTGACGCGCAGCACCCGCGACCTGAACGGCGAGCTGATGACGGAGGAGCTGCGCAAGGTGCTGGTAGAGCTGAGCACCGCCTCCGGCGCCATCTCGCCCGAGGCGCTCTTCTCGGTGATCTGGAAGGTCGTGCCGCGCTTCAGGTTAGTGGTGCAGGGCAGAGCGGCCGCTGCTGAGGTCGGCGGTGAGCCGGATCAGGTGAGTGGTGGGGTGGGGATGGGGGGGGGGGGGAGGTCAAAGGCGGACCGCTGCGTATTGACATTGAGTGCGCAGGAACGCTGCTAAGGTGCTGACGAGGATCGCTGCTGAGATCAAAGTCGGGGTTCAAATCGCTGGTGTCGGGTGAAGTCTTGGAAGTGGGCAAGTTCCTGAATGCAGCGACACCTTCCCGAAACCCTACCTGAAACTGAACAAGTTACTGCTTTTTGGCCGTCTGGGAGCTGGAGGGAGAGGGAAGGGCGGGGGGACGGACGTAAACTCGTTGATCCCTTTTGATTGAATCCTGTGGACGCCTTGACCCAGTCACGCAGGGGCTGTCAAGATGAGTCGCCCTGTTTGGTGTCCTTTGGCATTTGTGACCCAGTCCCAGTTACGTTACGCACCCGTCGAGTCAGTGTTCCGTGCTCAGGCTCAGACCGCCGGTACCTCGGTCCAAATCTGTGGTGTTTTGTTCCGGCCAGTGATGGCCCGGTTAAGGCCAGTAGTTCGGCCAGTGGTCCCAGTCCGGCGGGTGGTCCTAGTTCGGTCATTGGTCCTAGTCCTGCCAGTGATCCCAGCTCAGGGCAGTTATCTCAGTCCCGGCAGTGGTCCCAGCTCAGGCCAGTGGTCCGATTTCGGGCCGGTGGTCTCAGTCCAGCTAGCGGTCCCAGTTAAGGACAGTCGTCCCAGTCCGACCAATGGTCCCAGTCCGGCCAGTGGTCCCAGTTAAGATCAGCAGTCCCAGTTCGACCATTGGTCCTAGTCCGGCCTGTGGTCTCAGCTCAGGCCAGTGGTCCCAGTCCGGCCAGTGGTCCCAGTCCGGCCAGCGGTCCCAGTTCAGACCAGTGGTCCCAGTTCAGACCAGTGGTCCCGGCCCGGCCGCCCGTGCAGGCTGGCGGTGCCTTTGCTGGCACACGGCGCCGAGTACGCCGTACAATAGTGGCGTCCCCCCCCCCCGCCCCCGCCGTCCCATAACGGGAGATGATGGACTGCGCGCGCCACGGTGACGTGCTCCATTTGTCGCATCGGAAGGCACGTGCCGAGCGCTGCCGGCAGTCACGCGCGCCCGTTATAAGATACGGCCGCCGGCTTTTGATCGAAAGCGGCCATCACCACCGCTGGCGCCGGTGATGTATGGGCCTGATCCCGGGGTGGTCGGCGATTTATGCCCGCTCAGGGTTCCGGAACGTGCTTGTTAGGAAGGCTGATGTACGGGACGTTATGGACGGTGTGTGCACGCGTTATGTATGAATTTGCGTTTGAAAGGCGATGTTTTTAAAGGCTTGATTATCATGACTGATACGCGTCTGTGTGTGATCAGGTTAAGCTGTTGGGACTCGTTCCAATGTTTCCCCTGTTGTATATTGGCCTGCGCGCTGGTCTTAACGTGCGACGATTGGCAGACGCCGCGCGTTTTGAGCACATCTCCCCGCTGACTTAATTCCCACCTCAGGCGCCTGACCTTCTCGGCGAAGGAGGGATGTTTGGCACCTGGCGCCCGTGCCATGACTGCATTACTCGCTAAGCATCTCTATCACTATTTGGCGAACAGGCTGGGGCAGCTTGAGTCCGCAGTTGGGACAGCTTATGCCGGGGTTACTGTGCAGGCAACAGGTCATGTTCAGGGGGGACCCTGGTCCAAACGCCACTCAGTTAACGGTGCATGCGGCGAGTCTTAAAAAATGACGCTATTTTCTAGGTAGTGAAGTTATGCAAGATTAGCATCTCTCTGACCACTGCCACCTGTCAAGGTCTTATGCAAAAACGTGCTGAGCGATGTGAAATCCCATGACATTATACTTAACTCCACCCAAGCTCACCAGCGTCTTGCCACTCTTCGCTGCAGGGGGTACCAGCAGCAGGACGCGCACGAGTTCCTGCGCTACATGCTGGACCGGCTGCACACGGAGATGCTGGCGCTGTTGCCGGACATGCGGGAGCCGCGGCCGGTGGCTGGCCCGCCGCCCTCGCCCGGCAAACAATCGGTCGTGACGTCCGTCTTCGGCGGCACGCTCCAGAATGAGGTGAGAACGATTGACGCTGGGAGAATGAGGCGAGAACGTTTGGCGCTTTAAGAACGGGGCGAGATCGATCGCTGACAGAAGCACGGGATGAGAATGATTGGTGCCAGGTGAACGGGGTGAGAATGATTGCCGCGGGGGAATTAACGTGAGAACAACTGCCTCCAGGAGGTTGATGTGAGAACGATTAGTACTACCAGGATGAGGTTAGGGCGCGTGCGGATGTAAGGCCGCAGTGGACGCGTTTGCGGCGGATGGAAGTGAAGCTGGAGCGAAGTGAATGAGGGGTGGGTGGGGGTGTTACATCATGTTAACGAGATATGGTACTGCCGCATCATTGTGAATGCTCGCCGAATGTATCATACAGCTTAAGAACCAGGTTTTCTTCTCATCCATAAGAAACTGTATATCACTTCACTGAGACCGCGTTGATCGCCATTTCCGACCGCATCCTATCCGCAAATGACCGGGGAGAAGGATCGCTGCTGTTGATCTCAACAACTGTTTTGATGTGGCAGACTCGGAACTCGGAGCACTCAGAACTCGTCTACAAACTGTGCGCTCGCGGCATTGATCCTCTTGGTTTTTCCCTGCCTTCGCAATCACACCCAAAGCGTCAGTCTCATTGACCGCTCGGGCACCTCGAAAGGCTCCTCTAAACTTCCGAACAGCATCGGTGTATTCCAGGGATCCACAATGGGACCTCTCCTCTTCAGCGTAGTCGCGAATGAGCTGAGTGGTTTCGTGGAGGACGCTGTGGTAGTCCAGGACGCGGATGATACCCGGGTGTTGATCAGTGATCTCAGATCTCCGCTACATAACGCCATTGCTCGTTTGGAGTATGTCGCGGCCACTTGAAGATTGGCTCGGATCTAACGGCCTTACAGTCGATGCTGATAAAACGCAGCTGATGCTGCTTGGAAGCCAACCAAGTATCCGCATTGTTCCCCACTTCACTTTCAAATTCTGCTCTCACCTTCCTGCCCTCTGTTTGGAAGAAAGAATCTCGGACCCATCTTTGCTCGAAATCTGAGTTGGAATTCATACGTTTCGCATGTCAATAAACACTGTTTCGGTTCCTTAGGTAGTCGACCACATCTGAAGCACAGCCTTCCCGCCAGTGTCCTGGCAACTCCGGTGCATGCCCCGGTTCTGTGACAGGTCCGTTATTGCATATCAGTATGCGGCAGTGGCCCACAGCTCAATGTGGCCGGGACTCAAAAAGTGTCAAAAAAGTGTCCCGGCTCTGCTGCGAAACTTACTTTCGGACGCAAAAGTGATCCATCATGTTTCGGACTCTCATCAGAGGCTTGGCTAGCTCTCTCCGCTGCGGATCGAGGCAGGTAGCACACCACGTCACTCATCCACATGATCCTCCATTCAGGCGAGCCGCACTAACTGGCGTGCTCTGCGCTGTGGGCGGAGGGCACGGTCGACCCACGGGGCAGCGACAGTGATCCAGTTATGTCTCGTTCGCGTACTGACATGGGAAAACGACGTTTTTCTATTCGCGCACCCAAGATGTGTAACGAACTCTCGGACTATCTTCGACTACTTCCCGCTGGTCTCTTTCCGAAAACATTTGAAGAGACATCTCGTGGGACATCTGAAGATGTCAGGACCTGTTTGTGCGGCGAAGTCGTAACAAGTGCGCATTTGCGTGTGTTTCAGTGCGTTTGTTTTTGGATGTCTGTCTTTGTCTCCATGATCTATAAGCCGTTCATTCATCTGCTGACGGTGGGTTGCAGTAGCCCAGGGCTGATTCGTGATTGCGCAAAATATACGTCCATCAATTAATCAATCAAACTATACCGCTTGTGAGCACTCGCATGGCCTTCTGACGACTTGAAATATCGTGTAGATTTGTTATGAAATATGTGAATGACTATGATCTGTGTCGAATTCTGATCGCGCGGAGGCGAGGCATTGGTGTGGGACTTCCCACCGCGATGCTACTTGCAGCTTGGTGATCTTAGCGTTGGCGATTTGGGAGCCGACGCAGACCTACCTGCGGCACGCGCGCATGTCGCCTGCCGTAGGTGTCATCACACCTGTCAGAGACCTGTCACACATGTCACAGATCCGTTAAGCGTGCAACATGTCCTTCACACATGTCACAGACCCGTGACACCTGCCACAGCCCCGTCACACCCGTCGATGTCCGCAGGTGACGTGTCTGATCTGCCGGACTGAGTCGAAGAAGCAGGACCCGTTCCTGGACCTGTCGCTCGACATCCCGGACCGGTTCCTGCAGCAGCGGAAGCCGAAGGACGCCGAGCCGCCGCCCGCCTGCTCGCTGGCCGGTGAGGCGCCGGCTGCGGCGGCGTTGTGGGCGCGCAGGCCAGGTCTTCGGGGTGGGCGGTGGGCGGTGGGCAGTCTCTTCCGTTGAAGTTCTGGTTGGCTGGAAAGTCAGTTGTCACGCGCCCCTTCTGGTTGTAAAGTGGGTCGTCTGCTGTGTTTCTGGTTTGGAGGGCCCATGTTGAACCCCTATGATGAGGTAGGCTACTCTTTGTTAGTTTTTCCGTGGAGATGAAATAAGACAGTCCTGTTTTCCCTGCTCGTTGGGATGAGTTGTTTTTTCGATGCACTGGCTTCTGGTAACGGCTGATCAGTTTTCCGCAGGCCTATTTGGGCATCTGTTAAGGCTAGCGAGGTATGTGTCATTCCTGCGTACCAGTGATCGGTTTCACAATTGCATGGTCATACGTTTCTCCTTTGCATGCGCATTACTGTTCTGCGCCAAATTTCAGAACGTGTCATTCGTTTTGAATGCTCGTGTCAGCCCAATCGCACAACATTTAAAAAGAAAACCACAACAAACCGTACCGCATTTTCGAACAAACCCCGTTCAAAGCCTGACAGGGAATAACAGTTTTCTCTGGGGGCCACAATCACAGGATGCGACAAGCCCTGGATAGAGTGCGCCGCTGGCTGACTGAGGGCCCCCGCTTCACCCTTGGCTGGGCTCACTGTTGGCACTAGCGGGGCCCCCGGGGGCGGGGCGGTCAGCTCGCCCCGCGGCGTACCGAAAGCCGGAGAAGTCCTGGTGGAACTCGGCACCAAGCTTGTGGCCTAGTGAGCCGAGTGGCCTGTGCTGCGCTGCAGAAGAAAAATTGTGATTTCCCACCCGTTTTCAACTGGGCTTTATCCCACTGGTCGAGGTCACATCTGTAGTGCCCAGCTTTTAAAGCCACTGCGAAGGGTCCCAAACCACCAAACCAGGATCGTTCCCTCCCCTTCCCCTGAAACGGTTTTGCGAAGGATTTGACTGCGAGAGAATGCATGCCACGTGGCTTTCACATGCTCAGGCGATGCCTGGGCTTATTGGCCGTTTTTATTGACCAGGGTTTTTGTCGTTTGTGCTGAAAAGCCCATCTGTTCGCAGTTGTGCCCATTATGTCCTCGCGTCCATGTGTTCGCGAATGTGCCCATTTTGTCGAACAGACTTCTCACTGAGGTGCGCGTAGAACTTAGTGTAGCGTGAGCACAATTGCCAAGTGCCAATTGCCACAGCTACTAATTTTCAAGTACTCTACGATCAACTCCGATCGTGTATTGGCTGTTGAGCGTACAGACAGTGTTTTTGCTGGCCTCTGGGCGGCGCTGTGATTGACTCCGGAATCAGCGCCGTTTGACTTCAGTCAGGCTAGATTCGATTCCGTCGGAGATTTGTCGTGAGCCCGGATCGACGTTGGGTCAGCGGACTCATCGGTGCGTCAAATCAGAGAGGAAAGCACACGACAAGTATGTCAATTGCATGGTAGCTGATCGGCGGACCAGCTAAAACACAGCCGTTTTCAGCTGTCTGGGGAACTTACTCGTAAATAACAATGTCCTGTGGAAGCTTTGCGGCCTGAGGGCCGTACTCCATCGTAAAGTGATATTACCAGAGTCGACTCGACGGTCATCGCTTGCGGTATCGAGCATTTCACCTCGCAGCACGATCGGGATCGACACACGTTATTTATCATTCGGAAGCCATTCTGGGTAACTGCAGCATTCTACGGCCAGCTCGTGTCGCCCGAAATTCGCCGCACTCCAATCAACGCTCCCCCGTACCGCGAACCCCTTGAAGCTTAGGGGCGTGCCGTGCTGATGGTCGGTCGAGTTCCTAAGGCATCATGCCACTCACCGTTCTCGCTCCATGCCTTTTTCCGAGCCACTAACAACAACGCGGTTGGTGTGTGCACTGTCATTCACACGTTTCATGCTTCCACTGGCGGAGGCAACCCTCGGTTGCTTCAAGACATCTCTGTTGCCCTCCTGAGAGATGGTGTTAACTGTCCTCGTGCCGTGAGAAGGGAGGTGCTCTGTTTGACGGTGTTCCGCGACGCGGGCGGTCCCCGGGTCTCTCTGCGAGTCCGCTGAAGGCCTGGTGCGCAGCACCCCCGTCTCATTCTTCAAGCAATTAGTGTTGCAGAGTCTCCCCGCCCAAAATAACCGGCGGCGTGGCAACTGATTGCGCGCACCGAAACGCATGAAACTGCTTTTGCCACGTGAGCGCGTGGCTTGCGCAGGACTCGCGTGCTCCCGTGATGAGCTAAATTCCTATGACCTTGCTGAGAAGATCTCCATGACAACCCGCGCGCAATGACTGGACCCTGATGCAAGGCGGTGCCCCCCCCCCCCCCCCCCCCTGTATCTCCTGCTCTTCAGAATCATGTGTGATGATATACTGGATGATATGGTGAGCTAGGATTGGATAGAGCGCACACCGTCTCGGGTAGCATGGGGAAGGGCGTTGGTTCAAACCGGATGCGCCTGGGCTCAGATCGGACGCACCGGATGCAAATGCGTAATCGGAGCGCTTATGTTGGCGCTACAGTCGCTGGCGCGCCGTTGACGCGCCACGCCAACTTGTGCCGCATTTCCGGTGTAGAGCTGCATCACGCACAAGGCCATGCCAGCCGGCGACGGAACACGCGCGATGTGGCGTTCCGCACAATAAGATGCAAGAGATGGCATATGTGTGTTGGGGGGGGGGGGGGAGGGGCGGACGGCGGCATGCTTCCCCAGCCCCGCGGCGCCATCTTCCTCGCGGCCCGCGCGTCCGCCGCGAGGCAACGTGTGTTGCCTCGGAGAGGGTGCGGAGCAGACATTTGATATATAGGAGGTTCATAGAAAGTGGATTGATATGCTGGGAAAATCACACCTTTAAGAGGTACTCAACGTGAAGCCCAACGTAAGATTTGCAAAATTTGTCAAACAAGTGTCCTGGGAGGGGGCTATCCCCAACCAGTGCGCATGTGTCGATTATTAGTTTTGCGTTAAGGCGGGTTGTCGCGAGAGAACGGGTTGTCGAGATCGAAGCAGATTCAAACGGAGCTGACAAACATCATGGCAGAATACTTATGTATATATATATATATATATATATATATATATATATATATATATATATATATATATACACGCCATATCATAGTATGGCGTGGCATGCAGCCCAGCTGTGGGGAAGTGGCCCAATTAACTCCGTTTAGATGAGCTGGCCCCCTTCGTAAAAGAGCGGGGCTCGAGCGCGCTGGGTGGGTGCGCCGGCAGCGGCTGCTCAGTGGCGGCCGCGCTGTATTTACCCCGCGCTGGTGTGGCGGCGGGGAGCATACAGGCGGGTACCGAGTGTTCAGAGTGCGATGGTGTTTCCAACGAGGCCTCTGCGGGGCGGGCTTGCCTTTGTCGTCCAGGATCCGGGCGGCTGCAGTTTTTGCTAGCTGTGATTAGTTTTAGAAATGGGAAAGGGATGTAGGTAACCAGCCAAGGCAGGTTGGTTATTTTCAGTGCATTTCTGGTCCATTGTACTTACGCTTGATTGGAAAAAACCGGGGGAGAGAGGGGCAGCACCGCCCTTTGGGGGACGCTACCCACTCCAATGTCAGGAATATGTGATATTGCATGTATATGATATGATATCTCATGATATCCCACAGCTGACGGCCCTTTTCGACCGTGGCACCGAGGAGGAGAGGACGTCGCGACGCTCTGATTTAATCGGGCTGAAATACAACGTTCTTTACTTTTGCATGTAGTGATGTTAAAGCGGAGCATTTTTCGCCCTCTGAAGTGGACAGAGCAATGCTGGGTCATATGAAACGGCGGTTTCTTCGAGGTTGGGAGGTATTTGCGCCCAGTTTGCGCAACATGGATTGTGCCTGGCGAATCGGTGATGACGCATCTACACTTTTCTGAAGTTGGCGGGCCTTTGAGGTAACACGGCCCGCTTTGGCGGGGCTACCCGACCATGGGCGGTGGTATCCCAAGCGGTGTTGTTTAAGGACTTAGGCGATGCAGAGGATTGGGTAGATGGGAAAATGAATGATAATCATTAGAAATAAGGTGCAAATCAAATCCCGAATTACTAATTAGCTTTGTTGTAGCCAGGGACAGCGCCAAGGGGAGAGGGGCTGAAGTGTGCGTCCCCTATCCGTAAACCCTTTTTGCAGGAGAAAATATATTCTTCGCACATATTGTCACCAAGTAACCGTTCCCATTTTACCGCGCTGAGGCTCCCTCGCATCGGTAGAATTGCGTTGCAAGAATGTGATCAGGGTACTACCGGGATTCCCAAAGACCACTCGGGGACCACTTGCCAGACTCGCGGAGCACAGTTAATATCATGCCGTTGCAGCCTACGGATACAAGACATTTTTGAAGGGAAAGCTGACAAATTCTTAAATTCAAAAAGCTCAAATTCTGGCATGTGCACTATGACGTAATTTTTAACTCCCGAAGTACGGCTATTATCTTCGTGCGACCTTTGCGATGCCCATCACATATCATCACCACTTTCACCACCGGGTTTTGCATAAGGTTAAGAACTTTAATAGATACGGCCCTGCAATGCTGCGTGTATTTTCTGTTCGCTGCGCACCTTAAAGTGTTTGGTAGCTACGTGCCTTACATAAAAGCGTTATTCCATTAAAATATTTTGTACCCATTGCCGTACTAGAGTAGCAGTTGGAAGGAGAACTTCGGTATATTTTCTGTTAAAGTTATACTTTTATGCTTTATCTTTAAATCTGTAAAAATAGTCTTTTCAACAGTTTAAGTGTGATTATTTCTACTTCAGATGAAGTCATGGTCTTGGCGGCCTAGGCAAGGATTACAGAAGTATTTCCTCCTAATGTTTCCAGGGCCTAGCAAAAAAGGGGTCGAGTGGAGCGACACGAAATTTGTATTACCTGTCTATGCTTCTCTTTTCCTTTCTGTGCTTTCATTTTTGGTGTCGCAGCTTCAGCACGGCACTGTGTCAACACCGGCACAGCGGCAGCACGGCACTCCGGTGGCACCGGCGCAGTACGGCACCCCGACTACACCGTCACCCAACGGCCCAATAGATGTCATAATCCCTCTTCCAATAATATTCGTGCCCCAAAAAGACAACAGTTGGTGGACACGGAGAGGCACATCCCTCGTGATGACCAGCTCCGTCGGAAACGGAGAGGCACAGCCCTCGTGATGACCAGCTCCGGCGGAAACGGAGAGGTACATCCCTCGTGATGACCAGCTCCGACGGAAACGGAGAGGCACAGCCCTCGTGATGACCAGCTCCGGCGGAAACGGAGAGGCACAGCCCTCGTAATGACCAGCTCCGGCGGAAACGGAGAGGCACAGCCCTCGTGACGACCAGCTCCGGCGGAAACGGAGAGGTACATCCCTCGTGATGACCAGCTCCGGCGGAAACGGAGAGGTACATCCCTCGTGATGACCAGCTCCGGCGGAAACGGAGAGGTACAGCCCTCGTGATGACCAACTCCGACGGAAACGGAGAGGTACATCCCTCGTGATGACCAGCTCCGACGGGAACGGAGAGGTACATCCCTCGTGATGACCAGGTCCGACGGAAACGGAGAGGTACAGCCCTCGTGATGACCAGCTCCGACGGAAACGGAGAGGTACATCCCTCGTGATGACCAGCTCCGACGGAAACGGAGAGGTACATCCCTCGTGATGACCAGCTCCGACGGAAACGGAGAGGTACATCCCTCGTGATGACCAGCTCCGACGGAAACGGAGAGACACAGCCCTCGTGATGACTAGCTCCCCCGATTAAAGGCGACTGGAGGAGAATGCCCAGGTGAAAAAGCACTGAATGCCTTGTAAACAAGACGGAGGAAAGCTTAAGTAGTACGGGGAAGAAACAACAGGAAGAAAAGGCCACTAAAAAGTGTTCTCAGTACATATGCCATCTGTATGTGCTGCTCAGGAGTGGTCGGGAGGATGACGTGTGACTTGTTTGTAGTGGATGCAGCCGTTGGGTGCATGAAACGTGCAATAACGGGTCCAACAGCACGGTTGTTCACAGTGCAATGAAATGAGAAAAGAAATAGGACTTAATCTTTGCAGTGTAAAGGATAGGATAGAGATTTGCTGATTAACCATGGAACAGTTGTAAGAAGTGAGTATGCTTCGAAGGTACAACAACTTCGGTGTTTTTCAACTCTCCGGATATCTGTCGTCAAATAATACAATACAAACTCCGATATCACGTGAGATTTGAGATCTTGAACCCTGAAAAGAAAAAAATGGGCAAATCTGAAAAAAGAAAAGTTGGAGATGTTGAGACGTTCCACCCACTTCGGGTCAGGACATAGCCTAGAGTCATTGGTACAATTTTGATGCGGTGTTACACGTACAGGCTACTCTTCCTACAAAATTTGTGATTCCAAACGTGTTGGTTAAACGGCCGCAACCTTTGCTGCACTTATACGGACTGTACCGAGAAACGACTGGCGGTGTAGCCCCACGATGGGTGCCACCCCCGCAGGATGACATCTTTTTCAAAATCGTTCGAAAATATAACAGATTTGTATCCGATTTTGCCCACTATTGAAAAACAAGAGCATCGATGACTGATTGCGAGCGTTCTTGACACTGGCACCTCAAACTCCACCAGGATGTGAGGCAGAATTAAGAAGTCCGTGCTGCCCCTTCCTTCCCTACTACATGAGCTCACTGGCGTTGAACGGCCTCCTTTCCTATTGTTCACCGGTTTGACAGAACCGCGACTCTTTCGTAGTGAGGGGAAGGATTTGAGTAATTTGTCTGCCGGCGGAGGCGAATGCTACCGCATTGTTTGACTGCACGTGTTACACAACATGTGGTCCAAACCTTCTCATTTTGGCACGTTCAGCCAGTCGTGGTGGGCGATAGGCATGCCCATCCCAAATATAGTGTCTGGGCTTGAAATGAGATCGTCGTTGAGAGCACGGTTGTAAGTTTTCGGCGAATTGGAGTTGCAGCTGGATCTCCAACATGGCGGGGAATTGGTATTCGTCCTAGTATAGTCTCGTCTGCGGCGTTACGTCAAAAGATTCCACTAAAAATAAGAAGATGAAGCTAGCATCCCAGCGCGTTCTGAAATTTGTCTCGTCTGGTTGAGAGGTGGTGTAATTACTGTCATGATGGTGTCGCTTAGTTATAGGTTATGGTTGAAGAGCCATCTTGGCGTAGACAATCGATGCGGCTCGTGTTTCCTGCTGTGTAAAAAGAAGCATTCTGATCTTTTAAGGTGAGGGTTATAGTTCATTTACGACCCGCACGCGTCCTGAATTTTCAAGGACTCGCCGGCAATTAGCTAAAGAACGCGCCGCGCTCCAAGAGCGTGTGCTTTCAGCCTGAAATGCTTGAATTGGCGGAAGGCGGACTGTCTTGTCTATTCGTGGGACAAACAAGGCACAAGAAGGCATCCAAGAATCCTTTGTTTCGTCTTAACTACCCTGGCAGCTGGCTGAAACTTCATTACCGCGCCCTGGTAACCGTAACCGCCCTGGTAATCGCACACCTCTTTCTCTCCTGCTCCCCTTTCTCACCTCCGGCCGTTCTGCGGCTCTTTCGCCAGCCTTCTCAGAGGCCGCCGGACCACTTGGTAGCCAAGTCGGGTCGCCGACGTGTCCACTGCGACTGACTGCCCCCCCCCCCCCCCCCCTCCCCCTCGCCTCCCTCCCTCGCTGCTTCCTCCGGCCGGAGACATGCGAGCTTCCCTCCATGTGAAGCGCTTCCCTGGCCAGGCCGTGATTACAGCCGTTCGACTCGCGGCCGTGCGAGCGGTAGCCAAGTGTGTACCGCCTCCCCCTCCCCTCTAGCTGTCTGGATGTCTCCTAGTTCGCGTCCCCCTCTGGCTGGCAGCGCGGCCTGAGCCGGTGTGGTGTGGTGGCGACTGAGCGCGTGCCCTTCCCCCTCTCCGCAGACTGCCTGGACCTCTTTCTGGACGTGGAGGAGCTGGCCGACACCGAGCTGTACCATTGCAACACGTGCAAGCAGCGTCAGAAGTCGACCAAGAAGTTCTGGATCCGGCAGCTGCCGAACGTGAGTGCCGCGCCAGCCGCGCCGGCCGCCGCCTTCCGCCGGCTGGCCGGAGCGCCGCCCGGTCAGAGCGTCGCCCTTCGCCGACCGGTCAGAGCGCCAGGTCTCGCATCCGGGTGGTCTGTGGCGGACGGTGTGACCTGCGTGCCGGGCAGACTCGACACGCGTCATCTGCGTTTGTTTCGAGCGACGGGTGCGGCTCCGCGTCCCAGCGACGTTCCGGGTCGCGCCCTGAAATGATTCGTTTGTCTGAACTGCTCGAGACTACTGCCGCTCGGTCCGTGGCACGTGTCGGTAAACGGCGTAGCAGGGTCTCTTGGTGTTGTGTACATTTTAGCACGTCCGATGTCTCGCAGCGTTTGCTGTCATCGGCGGACGCTCCGCGCGCGGCTACGTGAGCACCTGTAATGAATGGGGTTTTTCGTTCGGCTGCTTCCGCGTGGCTGATTTGAATCCTGTCACGCTCACGCCCGTGCGTGACGTCACGATTCTATTAGCGCTTGACACCCCTGATGAAAAGCATTGAAGGGCGGCGGCGCCGTGGCTTCATTGACACTTCGCATAGCCGACGGCGCTTTCTGGCCGTGACAGGTAGCTTCACGCGTGCGCGCAGTTTGAGTGGTGGGATCCGCTTCAGAGCGCCTGGTTTTGATCAGTTCAGACTTCGCTCTTACTGCCGTCACTGTCACTCGGTCCACTTCAGGCATGTCAGTATGAAAAACTGACCGGTCGTTTCGAGGTATAGCGAGATGCAGCGTTTCGAGGTATAGCGAGATACAGCGCCGCTGTTTGTAATTTGATGATGTAGTCGGATATCTGACGGAGCGCTTTCTCTTGGATGAACTTCTGTTCACGCTGGTTCAGTGTGTACGCGCACCAGTGTTCGTAGGAAACATTACTACCGGGAAGAGCGTCGGTGCGTTGATAGCGTCACTGGATCATGTTTGAATGTCACAATGTGAGCGGAAGGCATTTTTCCAAGTTATGGTGCTTGCAGGCCTGCCGGCCACTGTAACTGGACGTGTTTGCCAAGAACAAATGCCGCGTACTGGAGGGAGGCAGTGAAGAGCCGTTTGTCACGGTATATGCGAATTTAAGTAAGAAATCAAAGGTGTTCCGCCCGGTTTGTCCAGTGGTGTTAATCGCCGTCAAGTACGTGAGTTTGGATTCGGATCTCGGCAACGTCATGGTAGTCACTTCAGACGCGTGAAAGGGTAAGACTGATTCACAACTGATTTATAACCAACGCATTCGGCCATTTTGTGAGTGCGTTTACGTCGTCACTGGCGCACTTTCGAGAAGGCGGCAATATCCGCCAGTCCGGACCGCAATATTTTCATTGCGAATTGCAATTCGGCTGCTGAGACGCGCAGAATGCTGCGAGGCCTACATTACCTGCCGCTGCCAGATGATAACGTGAACCCGAGCCGCTCGCCGCGCGTGACGTCACCCGAGCCACTCCTCGGACGGCCGGAGGCAGCGGGAGATGGTACCCAGCATTGCCTGACCTGTACCGTTGCCTCCGCCCCCGGAGACGCTGCGTGCGCGAGAACTGCGGCCCTCGTGTCGCCACAGCCGTGCGTCCACCCACGCTCGCCTTGACTGCTGCGGCTGGTCCCGAAGCGGGACCATGTGACGCCAGATCGGCGTCCACCTACCCCCCCCCCTCGTGCCGACAGGTGCTATGCGTGCACGTGAAGCGATTCCGCTGGTGCAACAACTACCGGACCAAGGTGGACGTGCCGCTGACATTTCCGGTGCGCGCGCTCGATATGTCGCCGTACCTGCTGGGCCGGCGCCACGAGACGCGCCGTTCCGCCGCCGGCCGCCAGCTGTACGACCTGGCCGCCGTGATCGTGCACCATGGCTCGGGCGCCGGCTCCGGCCACTACACGGCCTTCGCCAGCAACGCCGGTGAGCCGGGGCGCCGCGGCCGGAGCGGGCTGAAAAGGTGCTGCGTGGTCCTCGCTGATGCCGTGGGTGGGACGCGATAGGAGCTGCATTATCCTCGCGAGTGATTTGGGTGGGACGGGTGGGTGCTGCACAGTCCTCGCTAGTGATGTGGGTGGGACGAATGGGTGCTGCATGATCCTCGCTTGTGATGCGGGTGGGACGAATAGGTGCTGCAAGGTCCTCGCTAGTGACGTGGGTGGCATGAAGAGGTGTTGCGTGGTCCTCGGTATGGTAGTGACATGGGTGGGATGAAGGAGCGTTGGATGGTCCTCGGTATGGTAGCGACGTGGGCTGGATGAAGGAGTGTTGCGTCGTCCTCGGTATGGTAGCGACGTGGGCTGGATGAAGGAGTGTTGCGTCGTCCTCGGTATGGTAGTGACGTAGGCTGGATGAAGGAGTGTTGGATGGTCCTCGGTATGGTAGTGGCATGGGCGGGATGAGGGAGTGTTGCGTCGTCCTCGGTATGGTAGTGACGTGGGCTGGATGAAGGAGTGTTGGATGGTCCCCGGTATGGTAGTGACGTGGGCTGGATGAAGGAGTGTTGGATGGCCCTCGGTATGGTTGTGACGTGGGCTGGATGAAGGAGTGTTGGATGGCCCTCGGTATGGTTGTGACGTGGGTGGGATGAAGGAGTGTTGGATGTTCCTCGGTATGGTTGTGACGTGGGCTGGATGAAGGAGTGTTGCGTTGTCCTCGGTATGGTTGTGACGTGGGTGGGATGAAGGAGTGTTGGATAGTCCTCGGTATGGTAGTGACGTGGGTGGGATGAAGAGGCGCTAGATAGGTCGCGGCAGGGAAGCGGATGGATTGAAGAGTCGCTGCAAAGTCCCCGTTAGTCGGGTGAGATGACCTTTTCGCCATAAATTTAGACCTCCCAGTTGGATAAAAGCGTCCTGTATTGCTGAAACACTTCAACTGCAGAGTTCGATGGGAGCCTGCCGTAAGGTCTATGCGCGGACTTCGGGGAATTCACATTGATTGCACTCCAGCGTTCCGGGAGCTCATTTAGCGTGTTTGCATAGAATCGTCATGGATTGCGTTAATGCTACAAATGTAATTTGATGTCGGGGCGCGGACTTCCAAGAGACTCACATTTATCGCATCCCCGACTCTCCGTCGACGTCGGCTCGGCGACGAGGCTTGGCAAATGGCGTGTTTGTTTGCGCCGGCGGCGTTTTTGCGGACGCCGCGGGCCGCGCGGGCGCCTCGTTACTGTCGCCAGTGTTTGTGGCCCCCCCCCCCCCCCGCGGCTGTCGGTGCGGTGATGTGTGGCCTGGCTGGAGGCTGGAGGCGTCGGCGGAGGTGCCCGCTCTCGGCGCGTTGTGTCGCCGTAGGTCGCGGCCGGTCGCCGGGGGGAGGGGGGGGGGGTATAGCTTCCCGTTGGTGTGCTCTCGGTATGCTCTCTGCCCCCTCCCCTTCCTCCAGCGCGGAAACTCTGAGCGGGGCGACGTCGCTGGACACGTTGGGGGAGGGAAGAGGACGTCGGCAACTTTGGCATTTGTGGAAGTGTGGAGATGGAAGGGCCAGAGAGCTTGTTCGGTCCGCTTCGTGCCGTGCCGTGCTTCTTGGCGAATGCGGGGTTATGGTGCAGCTTGATGCACTGCCGTCTACCTCTAGGTCGCCGCCTCACCGCAGCTGATTCAGTTCCACATTACGAAGTAGATCGCAACAAAAGCGTGCCCTTGTTGCAGTTCCTCGTCCGCGGGTGATAGCGTCATGATCCATCGTGTCAAACTTACCAAGGAAAGGCTAGTTTGAAGGCCGGAATGTTTCAATGAAAGGTCTTGCGAAGGATGTCATCGGGACATCTCCTCTTCAGATTCAGAAGTCTTTTGCGCTGAATGTATCGTGGAATGCCAAAACCCAGCACGTGGACTAACATGGAAGCGTGTATCGTGGTGGGAACGTGTGCATCGCCCCCCCCCCCCCCCCCCCGCAAATAGAAAGAAGCCGCCTTATGACGCGTCTCGCCGCCGCGCCCGCAGGCGCGTGGTACCACTTCAACGACAGCACTGTGCGGCGGGCGGAGGAGGAGCAGGTGGCGCGGTGCAAGGCCTACATCCTCTTCTACATCCGGCGCGAGTTCAAGCTGCCGCAGCCGGTCTCCTGAGAGCGGCGGCCGCTAGGCGCGTCGGGGCGGGGGCGGCGGCGGCCCCCAGCGCGGTGTTCGCGGCTTGACGGCCGGGCAGTCGGCGCGTGCCTGCTCTCTCCGTAGGTAGCAGTCGGCGGCTGTTCTTTTTACCTTGGATTTACCTCGTATGATTATGTCTCTGATCGTGTGTTGAGCGGCGGAGAGGGCGGTGGAGAGAAGTTTTCTGCTCATTTGCTACTGGTCTACTCAGGTAGTGAATACATTACCAGGACAGGTCGCGTGTCTCTGTGTCGCGACGCCGCGGTGCTGACGCGTGGGTGTGGCGTCGCCGACGCCCCTCCGCACGCTGTCGGTGGCCGCCCTCCTGGGACGACGACCGGGAGCGCTCGGCGAGACTGAAGGCGCAACAGGCTGCTGTCTCGCCCCTCCCGTCAGCCGCCCGCCCCTCCCGCCGGCTGTGGCCTCCGACAGGCGCCTGCGAGCCGGCGGCGGCGGGCCAGCCGACGCCCTGGACCAGCGGCCGCGTCAGGACTCGCCGGTCTGGCGGCACCGGCGGTGAGGGGTGGCTCTCGGGCGTCCCAGCTTCGAATGCTATTTCACGCCCACGTGATCCGTCGGGAGCAGGCGAGATCCCGTCGGCGGACAGCGCGCGCCGTGAGGCGCAGACGCGCCATCTGAGCTGGCCGTCGTCGCCGCCACGGCCACCCAGGCTGCGGAGCGTCCCATCGGCGCCCATCATCCCATCATCCATTGTCATCGTCCCATCATCGGCGTCCGGGCTCCCGGCCGCGGCAGTGACGCCGAGCAGCGCAGGACCACCGACAGCGCCTGGTTACCGCCGGGGTCATCCCCGCGCCCGAAGCCGCGTCGCCGGCGGGTGGCGCATGTCGAGCCAACGCCGCGCCGCTCCGTCTCCGGCTGGCGACGGGCCCGCGTGTGCGGGGAGGGGCGGTTCTGCCCCCCCCCCCTGCGCCGGTGATCGAACCGGCACGGGGGGGAGCACGTGCGGTCTGCCGGGCCGTCAGGTCGGCGTCGGTGGCGCCGGCCGCGCCGGCCGCGTCGGCGGCGGCAGTGCCAGAGCGTTGGCCGCGCGCGCGCGCGCGCGCGTGCACGCCCGCCGCACGGAGGCGGCCTGCGGGCACCCGGCGGTGAGGCTTCTCATAACGACGTCACGATCTCCGCTATGATAATGGGGTCCCTGGCATCATGGCGGGCTGTGCGGGGAGTCAGAAACGACAACGGCGGGACGTGTCGACTCAGCGCACTTGGTCGTAAAGTATCATCAATCGCGGCTTCGCAGCCGTTAAGCTACGGATATCGCGAGTAACTTTGTTTTTCGCGTCAGCTTGTTCACACTTGAGCGGATGGCACGCGGCTTACCACGGCCACACGCAGCGTTACGAGAACCTGGTGCGGAAAATGATAACGGCATTAGGTTACTGATACTGGGTGTTATAATGCCAGAGACAATTAACCAGTGTGAACAATTTGGTGGTTTGTAAAGGGCCATGAGTGGGGACGGCTGTGGGCCGCTGCGGCTGTCTGCGCTGTTACCGGGCGGCTGAAGGGCGGCTGGCGACGTCTGGGAGGCTGCCGAGCGTAATTTCCGGCCATGGGCGCGCGTCGGACCACATAATTATACCGTGTTTGGGGCGGGCTGACTTCATGGATTCGTCTCGTCCGGTGCTGAACACCATGGTCCTGGGAGTACACCACGGCCCTAGGAGTACACCATGGCCTTAGGAGTACGTCACGACCCTAGGAGTAAACCACAGCCCTAGGAGTACGTCACGGCCCTAGGAGTACACCACGGCCCTAGGAGTACACCATGGCCGTAGGAGTACGTCACGACCCTAGGAGTAAACCACGGCCCTAGGAGTACGTCACGGCCCCAGGAGTACACCGCGGCCCCAGGGGCACGCCACGGCCCTGGGAGTACATCACGGCCCTAGGAGTACACCACGGCCCCAGGAGTACACCACGGCCCCAGGGGCACGCCACGGCCCTAGGAGTACACCACGGCCCTAGGAGTACGCCAGGGCATCGCCATCGTCACCGGACTGGTGGGCTCGAAAGCACTAGATTACACACATACCAGACCGCGCGCGTCCTGGAAATAAGGCCGACATCCGACGGTGCCAGAATGCCGGCCGCAAAGTCGGTCCTTTCCCGTCAGTAGGACGCTATCAGATCTGCAATGCGCACCCAATTACTGTGTGCTTTTTCAGTATGGAGTTATTGGTTCAGCAAGTATGTAGCCCAGACGAAATGAGCATGGATGGCTTCGTCATTCTGGGGTTGTCCCTCCGCTGTCAGCTTATTACTAGCCAACACGCTTGTCACGAACACCTTTAATACCAGAGTCGAATTCTTCGATGACTTTGCTTCTTGTACTGTCGCTTACACAGTGACGGATGGATTCCAACCAAATAAAGCACATTCCTTTTCTGACGTGGATGTTATTTTCCATTCAGGGGGCGGGGGAATGCAGTCCTCACAAACTTCTAGAGAAAATGCACCAAACGCGTTTGTTGGCGCATTTTAGGGTCGGTTCCGTCGTTCTTTCGCTGCTTAGCCTTGAGGCCTGCAAAACTATGCCCCTGGTTTCTAATGTACTTGTAAAAAGTACGGGGGCAACGCAGGCAGCAGAGGGAGCGCTAGCAGGTGCTGTTCTTCTCCCCCTGAGATATGACCACCGAGCAAAACTTCTTAGTGGCAGAAAATGGTCGTAGAATTGTAGTCAACACACGTGTAAGAACCAGCAACCAGCACGTATTATTTTCAGGACGGAATGTAGGGGAAAACGTGGCGAAATGAGGCACCCTGGTAAAACGGGCACCCCGGATTTCGGCTGTTAGAGGTGGCGCCATTGGAAATCAATGGTTTAAACTAAACTTTCTCTGACAGGGGACGGAAATGACGTGCACCGGGCAGTGTCCTGGAGTTGCCGACTAAGGGTGTAAAGCAACACCCTATGAGGAGGAATTTTTCATTCCTTTTCCCCATATTTTATGTGAATTTTTCACTCCTGCCTGACATTGTCTAATCGCACATGCCAAAGCCATATTTCCCTTTCTGAGGTTTTCATATGCCATACAAAACCGAGCTCACTTGAAACAACCAAGCATAAACGAGGCTCCATAGAACCTGGACACCTATGGCTATGTCCTGCCTCACCTAAATCTGAATCATGCCTATGTATGCACAGATCAAGGGCGCCATGTACCTTCAAGTCCAAGACCTCCCAGCGACTCCAAGGCCACACTTCATTGGGCCTGTGTTGTTTTTAGGCGGACCATCGGGCCTTGCAAGAAGAATGAATGTGATCCTGAAGCTCTATGGTACTTCGTTTTACTGCAAATCGCTGTCAAATTCTGTAACTTTTCCAACCAGTTTCAAAATGCTTTCTTGAAGAGCTCTTGTGCAGTGCGAGAACAGTGGAAATGGTTTTAGAGCACCACATTGCTTTTTTTAGTCGTTTACGCTTTTGCAAAATTCTGCAAACTTTTGCAACAACTTCCCAACTTACCCATTCAAAGCTGCTGGGTCTGGCAAAAAGACTGAAGGTGGTTCTTATGCCCCGCCTTATTTTCTTTTGGCCGTAAACCGCCTTTACAACATTCTATAACATTTTGCAACAATTTTGACCGTTGAATTCCTAACCTCTGAAATCTTGCAAGTTCGGTGAGGACGTTATTTGGTTTCCGCATGCCCATTTCACTTAATGCTACTAACGACCTCACGAATTCATGACACCTGGCCATCTTGCAAAGCAAAGGGCAGCATTGGCCTGCTGTATCCCGTGATCTTTTCACAATGTACAAGTGTGAGCCTCGCAAATTCAGGAAGCACTAGTGCCGCACTACGCAGCGCCCAATCCTGGCCCTGATTTGCCGTTTTTTTCGTAACGAGGAGTGATAGAGGGAACAGTGTGGTCAAACGCTGTTAAGACAACGGTGTTACGCGCATCGTAGCTGCCGCCCGTCGCCCGCGCCAGCCGTGGATCGCCGTGCAGTGTTCCTAAAAGCCAGTAACTTCTTAGAAAGGAGAATCACCAGACGCACGTTTTCGATGTCAAAACACGCGCAATGAATGCCCCAGAAGGATGCCCTCTGAGCCATCTGTGATGCGTATATTGACGCCAAAAACTCGTACGAAGTTTTCCTGTTTTTGAGAAGCGATGTTTTTTAGAAACACTGCTCGGCGACCAAAGAGAGGTGAGAGCGGCGGGGCCATGTTGTCATATGAACGGAGCCTTGCGTAAAAAATCGATGTTAAAAGCGCCTGAAACTACACATCGTTGTACTCCTGATTAAGAAAGGAACACACCTCTCTAAATTTCGTGTTACTGCGGGCTGGGTACCTCACATAGCGGCAATGGAACTGCAAGCGTTCCATTTTCAGGGAAATTTGACCGGTAGCCTATTTCTATCTGGGAGCATAAAGTTTCCGCCCAGTCGCGAGATCTTGTCAAGACCAACATACTATTTTGTCATCATGCAGCTATTTTCCTTTGTGTAGGCTTAACGTCATTACTTTGACAATGAAAACAAACAAGATGTAGCAAAGGGAGTGTTCCACATTTATATTGGGTGTTGAACTGAACTAGTCATCTTGAAGATCTTTCGGTGCTGTTCACAACCCTGCCATTCTTAAGATTTAAGCCCTTCTAGCTTCTGAGCTATACGCCCGCGAGAATGGGAAAAGGTATGTCGGGGAGGGTATTTTAAAGCAGTGTCCTAGAATTGCCGACTTTGGGTGTTAAGCAACACCCTATGGGGAGGAATTTTTCACTCCTTTTCCCCATATTTTATGTGAATTTTTCACTCCGCCTCACATTGTCTAATCGCACATGCCAAACCCTTGTTTCCCCTTCTGAGGTCTTCAGATGTCATCCAAAACCGAGTTAACTTAAAACCACCAAGCATAAACGAGGCTCCACAGAACCTGGACACCTATGGCTATGTCCTGCCCCACCTACATCTGAATCATGTCTATGTATGCACAGAGCAAGGGTGCCAGGTACCTCCAAGCCCAAGAACCCCAGCGACTCCAGCCGCTTGCACGCATTAAGTTTGGTTTGTTTACAAAATGCATTACAATCTGCAGCTTTGTGCCAAATGCAAGGTTTTCACGCGTCCCCTAATTTTTCGTCTCACCGCCACACCACGAGAGCAGAGCCTGGTGCAAACGCCAGCAAGGCCTGGAGATAATTTTATTCCACGTATTTCTTTTTCCCCGCGGAAACTTGACCACTAAATTGCAT